GTGCCGCCCTCAGCTGGCGACCGCTGCCAGGGATCAGCATCGTCGGACCCGTCCCCGTCCCTCCAGCGCCACGGTGCCTCGGCCCCGCCAGCACCCCCCCCCCCCGCCGAGGCGGAGACGGGCCCCGCGAAGCCCGCGGGGCACGGCGCGCCTTCCCAGCCGAGGGGCGCAGCTCGGCCCGGGGAGGCCGAGGGCCGTGCCAGCTGAGCTGCGGGGCAGGCCTGGCGATGCTCCAAGGGCTCCCTCGAGGGCGCGAAGTTATTCGCGCTTCGCGGTCCTCGATCCTTCTCCCCCTCCTCCTCGTCCTCCTTTTCTCCCTTTGGGGGGGCGGCGCGAGAGCGCGAAGTTATTCGCGCTTCGCGCTTCGCGCAGCGCGAAGCGCGAAGTTGGGAGCCCTAGATGCTCACGGGAACACGGTGGGCGCACGCGGCGGCGGAGAGGGGGAAGCCACGGGCGTGGGCGTGCCCGCGCGGAGGCGAGACGGGCGAGCGGCAGGCCGCCGCGTGTGCTCCCGGCCCTCCCCCCTGCGCACCCCGGGGGGGCCTTCGGTGGCCCGGGGCCGGCCTGCCGCGCGGAGCGGGGAGTTCGAGTCAGCATCGGGAGGTGCCACTCAGGAGGGGCCGGCTTCCCAGCAGCACTCCCGTCGGCAGGAGGGGGAGGAGGAGGAGGCGGCGGAGGAGGAGGAGCAAGAGGAGGAGAGGAGGACAACGAGGACGAGAAGAAGAAGAAGAAGAAGAAGAAGAAGAAGAAAGAGGAGGAGGAGGAGGAGGAGGAGGAGGAGGAGGAGGAGGAGGAGGCCCTCTCGATCCTCCCTTCTCCGACGTCCTGCCTATAGTAGTGGTGGTGGAACATTTGCCCTCCGTCTCAGCATCGGTCAGCCACGCTCGGAGGGGAGTAGAGGGAGGAGGAAGGCTTCTCAGAGGCACCCCGGCTTCTCAGACGGCGCGGGTCTTGTCTGTTGGTGTAGGGCCAGGCCTTCGAGGAGTCGGTCTCCCGAGAAGCCTCTGTACGTGCAGGGCCAGCGCCTTTGAGGAGTCGGTCTCCTGCGCAGCCCTCCCCAATCCGCCTGCCCCCTCTTGTGCCGCGTCGCCACCTCGGGCAGGTTCACCTCAGCCCCGGCTCTGGAACGCCCGTGGTCTAAACCGGCGCAATCCCATCGGGAGGGGCAAAACACACACAGAAACCTTTCCTCGTCGATCCCCACGATAATATATAGGAGACCATGGGAAGTGGGGGGATACGAAAACCCAGAACATATGGGAACTGTTTGGAAATTATGTTATCTGTGTCTATTTATTTGGGCGTCCCAGGGCCCCTTGATCCCAGCCAGTTCCACGTCGTCGAGAAGATCGGCCAAGTGTTGCGAGAACATGGGTGTCCTTCTTTGATCCTGGACTCCCGAGGCTCGCCCACTATACCACGCCTGACTTGCATTAAATCTGTCCCCCTACAGGAGGAATACTCAAACAACAACAACAACAACAACAACAACAACAATCATTTTACCCGAACGCTCAGTGTTCTCACCAGTGCCAGGGTTTTCATGCGACGCGAGACAATACCCCCACTTCGTGGGGGGGCAGTTCAAGCTCTACCAAATATCCAAACGACTCTTCGCGACCACCCAAACCCAGCTTCCCGCCCTATGACGTTGGGACACTTCACTTCGTGGCGTGCGGACGACCGTGGCTACTACACTGGCGTGGGGTACACACCCACAGAACTTGGTCACTTATTCGGGGCGCGCGTGTGCCCAGCATCCTGCAATTGTGACATACAATACATGACACAGACAGACAGAGAGAGAGACAGAGAGCAGACAGAGAGAGAGACAGAGAGAGCGGAGTTGGTCACATTTTTGGGGCAAGTTCCTGAGATCGTCGTGTTTTTTGTTGGTCTTGCGCGCGCGAATGTCCACTTTACTTTTTTTTGCAAGGGAGTATTGAAATTTGATTATGTTAGAACAAGAAAAAGTAGCTCGCGCGAGCTCATGTAACATAAATGTTGAAAAACCATTGGTTTTGTGGGAGTCGGACAGCGCGCGCGGGATGAAATTTGGACATTTTTTTTTGAAAAACCATTGGGTTTTTGATGTTTTTATGTTGAAATCGTTACGAAACCTAAGGTTCTGGAAGGATTTCGTCTTGCGCGCGCGAATGTCCACTTTACCTTATTTTTTGCAAGGGATTATTGAAATTTGATTATGTTAGAACAAGAAAAAGTAGCTCGCGCGAGCTCATGTAACATAAATGTTGAAAAACCATTGGTTTTGTGGGATTCGGACAGCGCGCGCGGAAGGACATTTTGACAATTTTTTCTTAAAAAACCATTGGGTTTTTGATGTTTTTATGTTAAAATCGCTACGAAACCTAAGGTTTTGGAAGGATTTCGTCTTGCGCGCACGAATGTCCACTTTACCTTATTTTTTGCAAGGGATTCTTGAATTTGATCAAGTAAGAACAAGAATTTTCATTTTCTATTGTTTTTTGCAAGGGAAAACGAGCGTCAACAAAAAACCGGATCCGGAGCTCATCCACTTTTCTGAAGCTTTCGCGAAAAATGATGAAAATGTAGCTGCGGCCTAGGCGCGGCGCAGAGGTCGCGCACCAGGGGTCCCAACAATAATAATTCTTTAGAAGGAATAATGTTCAACAACAACAACAATTACTAGCACGTGGGGACACTCCGTTCTCACCAGTGCCAGGGTTTTCATAGGAGGCGGGCAATACCCCCACTTTGTGGGGGGGCCGGTTCAAGCTCTACCAAATTTCCAAACGACTCTTCGCCACCACCCACACCCAGCTTCCCGCCCTATGACGTTCGGACACTTCACTTCGTGGCATGCGGACGACCGTGGCTACTATTCAGGGCCCCGCGGCCGACGACGACGGCGTGCGCGCGCGAAGAAAAAACGAATGTGTCCCGCATGGTATTATTTGACAGGGATGATGGCCCTGGCAGGTGCGCAACCGTTGTTGCAGAAGTTCGAAAAAGTTGCTCGCAAAAGCCCGTTTGACAGAAATGTTTAAAAAGTGTTGGGTTTCCTACGAATCCGCAAGAGCGCGCGGGATGAAATTTTGACATTTTTTTTGAAAAACCATTGGTTTTTTGATGTTTTTATGTTAAAATCGCTACGAAAACTAAGGTTTTGGAAGGATTTCGTCTTGCGCGCGCGAATGTCCACTTTACCTTATTTTTTGCAAGGGATTCTTGAAGTTTGGTTATGTTAGAACAAGAAATGTCCACTTTAGCTTATTTTTTTGCAAGGGAAAACCGATCGTAACAACACAACCGGATCCGGACCAACCCGTTTTGCCTGAGACTTCCTCACGAAAATGATGAAAATGAGGCTGCGGCCTAGGCGCGGCGGGGGGGTCGTGCACCAGGGGCCCCAACAATAATTATTCTTTAGAAGTAATTTTATTCAACACCACCACCAACAACAACAACAACCACAACCACAACACCACCAACAACAACAACAACAACAACAAAAGTCTGGGGATGATGTTTGGTGCATATTTTGACAATTTGGGGGTGCGTTTTGGGAATTTGCTTCCGCCCAACAATCCGCCTGTAGGGAGACATGCCCGACCTAGACTTGCAGCTGAGAGCTGTCCGAGACGCGACTGTCTTAGCCCCCCCTTTGAAGCTGAAACTCAAAGTCGTCCAGTTCTCCCAGCTACCCAGTCGTCCTCGCGACGACTTCCCAGGAGTACCTCCTAAGGGGAGGAGGTCAGGGGCAACGGTTGGGGAAAGCAGGCTCCGGGGGGGGATGCGTTAACCTCCACTCAGGGCTCATTTCGACTCCTACGATTCGATTCGATTCGATTTCGATTGCTTTCGATTCCGATCCGATTTTGGGTTTCCGATTTGGGTTTCGATTTCTTATTGGAGGCATACTAGCCTGCCGATTTCCGTTGATTCGGCTTTTCCCGACTCGGCTGCCGAATTCCACCGATCCGATTCATGTCGATCGCCAATCCGACTTATCGATTCGATTCTGGGCTCTCCCGCCGACTTGCCCATTCCTCGCTAATGAAGGCCCGATCGCCCGCCCCGCCGAATAACGTTCGGGTTCGCTATCGAGGGCTTATCGCCGGTCCATCGGCGATGTGTCGCCGATTCCGGGTTGACGTTCCCCCCCCGTGGGGGCGAACCCCCCTCGCCCCCCTCGGGCGGGGCTAGGACGAGGATATGTCCGCTCTCCCGAACGCTCTGAGAAGGCCGCGGTGCCCGAGACACTCTCCAGAGCCGCTGGATCCGAGAGAGTCTCGATTTGTCTTCACAATTTGCATCCTCGTCCTGGCTTCGTCTTGATGTTCCTTGGGGGCGCGTAACGGGGGGGGGTCGACAAATGGGGGCAGCGAGGGCTGCCGAAAACTGACTTTTTTGGGTCCTTGTTGACATGAGCCCTTTCGGGCCCCAAAGGGGGCCCGCCTGGCCCGAGCAGGGCGCCCTCCCCCCCCCCCAGTGCATCGCCCCCATCAGTTCGCGCCCGCACTCCTCCTCTCTCGGATGTGTCCTCATCCCGGCCTCGTCTCGGGCTCCTCCTCCTCCTCCTCCTCCTCCTCCTCCTCCTCCTCCTCCTCCTCCTCCTCCTCTCCTCCTCCTCCTCCTCCTCTCTCCTCCTCCTCCTACTCCTCCTTCTCCTCCTCCTCCCTCCTCTTCTCCTCCTCCTCCTCCTCCTCCCTCCTCCTCCTCCTCCTCCTCCTCCTCCTCCTCCTCCCCTCCTCCTCCTCTTCCTCCTCCCCCTCCGCCTCCTCCTCCTCCTCCTCTCCTCCTTCTCCTCCCCTCCTCCTCCTCCTCCTCCTCCTCCTCCTCCGCCTCCTCCTCTCCTACTCCTTCTCTCCTCCTCCTCTTCCTCCTCTCCTCCTCCTCCTCTCCTCCTCCTCCTCCTCCTCCTCCTCCTCCTCCTACTCCTCCTTCTCCTCCTCCTCCTCCCCTCCTCCTCCTCCTCCTCCTAGCCCGCGCGCAGCGCCAGGCCCGCGCGCAGCGCCCGCGTGCCGCCCTGGGGCCGGCGCGCCCGCCCCGCGCGCCCGTGGGCGGCCCCGCGCGCCGGAGGGCGGGCGCCTCTGGGCGCGCTGGCGCGGCATGGAGGCCCGCGGCCGGCGCGGCGGGGGGCGTCCGACGGGGAGAGGGCCCCAGGACGAGGGGCCAGTTTTCTGCCACCACCACCACAAGAAGCTGGAGGGGGAGGGGGGGTCCACCTCCTCTTCCTCCTCCTCTTCCTCCTCCTCTTCCTCCTCCTCGTCGTCCTCCTCGTCGTCCTCCTCCTCCTCCTCCTCCTCCTCCTCCTCCTCCTCCTCCTCCTCCTCCTCCTCCTCCTCCTCCTCCCCCCTCCAACTTGTGGTGGTGTTGGTGGGAAACAGGCCCATCACCAGAGTCAAGGCGGGCCTGTCCCTCCACAGGAGGGATATTCAAAAACAGTCAAACAATGGTATGGGAACGATTTGTTAAGATGTTCTAATTCTTTCGGAGCACTTGTGAATTGTTTGTTTTATGATTCGATCAATATCCGACGGTAGGAGAACATGCCCGACCCAACCCCAGAGGATTGTCGGGGAAACGTAAGACTGGAGTAAGCCGGAACTCGGGTTTGCCAGCGCTCTTTGACGAGTGCGTCCTAGATTTTGACGGTCCAGCTTTCGTGGGATGTTTGCAGCGGGAGGTCGCGTCAAAGTTTAGATTGGGTCGCGTCACTTTCAGGATGGTTCCGTCAGGCCAACACGAGTCCCCCGTACCCCAGTCTTACGTCTCCCCGAGATGAGGCCGCGTTTTGGGGGGCGATACGGGGAGGGGCAGCGAGGGCTGCCGAACAGGGGCCCTTTCGGGGCCCAAAAGGGGCCTCCATGGTCCGAAAAGGCACCTTTCTTACGACCTGTCATCGCCCCTTCATGACCTCGCGCCCAAGAGGAGGAAGAGGCGCCGACACAGACAAGACGCTAAACATGTCGCAGCACCCTGCAGATGCGGATATGAGTGAGAGGGCGGGGGGATCGTCGGGAGTCTGCGAGGCTCTGCAGAAACTCGCCGCAGACATCTTTTAACAAGTTATATAACGAGCCCGCCGCAGGCGCTCTTGTTTACAAGATATATTACGAGCCCACCGCACGCTTCTTTCTTTGCTGTCCGTGGAAGCAATGCGGGTTGGTCACCGGTGGTCGCGGGTGGGTCGTTGGGTGGGTAGCGGAGTAGTGAGTCGCGGGTGGGTCGTTGTGGGTCGTGGGTTGGTTTCCCTCCTTACTCTCCACTTGGGGCCGTCCGGGGGCTCTCCGTGGTGGCTTCGGGGGCCCTGCTTGGGCCCGCCTGTGCCTTCCGGGAGCCTTCGGGGGCTCTTGGGTTGATTTTTGGGCGCGTTTTTGGGCTGCTGTGGGATTCGTGAGGGCTCGAGAAGCGAATGCGTTCAGCTTAGACGTTTCCCTTCGGTAAGGGGCCTCTTGGGGCGCGTCCTGGCGGCGCGTTGGGGCGTCTATGGGGCCTCGCGCGTCTGCTGTGAGCCGCGCGACACGCCAAGGATCGAAAGTGCTAAACTTTGGCGTTTCCCTTAGGGAACAGGCCGAGGCTTTCGTCCGGGTGCCTCGTGGGACGTCACCACCCACCAAACCACCCCAACCCAACCCGAAGGGTCAGATTTACCCTCGATTTCTAGTGGAGGGGGGGGGTCGGGAAACATCGAAAAAACACGTATGGAACCCATACCCCCCCCAACCCGAAATTTGGGTCTTCGGGTTGGGTTGGGGTGGTCTGGTAGGTAGTCAGGACGCGTCCTGGCGGCGTGTCGGGGCGTGCAGGGGACTTCTGGGGCCGTCCGGAGGCAACGTCGGACGTCTTGGAGCGACCTCTTCGCGAGTCGCAGCCCTTTTGGGCCGTCGGGGGAGCCCCTTGGGGCCGTCCTTGGGCCCTCCTCCGTGGCTGCGGGGGCCCTCTTGCGGATCTTTCGGGCCGTCTGGGAGCCCTATTGGAGGCATATTGGGTTTTTCCTTGGATTGATTTGGGGGCTTCTTGGGTTGCTCTGGGCCTCGTGAAAGGCCAAGAAGCGAATGTGCTAAACTTGAACGTTTCCCTTTAGGGAACGGGCCGATGTTTGCTTGTGGAGGGCCTCTTGAGCCGCGTCCTGGTGGCGTGTTGGGGCGAGCAAGGGGTATCAGGGGCCGCGTGAAAGGCTAAGAGGCGAGCGTGTTGGAACTATGTATTTTCTATCGAGAATGGGACGGTTGTTGCTTCTGGAATGTTTCTTGGGACGCGTCTGGATAGCGTCTTGAGGCGTCGAGAGGCAGTGTTGGACGATTTGGGGCACTGTTGAACGACTTGGGCCGACCAGGAGGCCTTGTAAGAACCCTCTTGGCCCGTCTTCGGGCCCTCTTGGAACCGTCCTGCAGTTCTCCAGGGCCGCTGCTATGGTTTCTGGGGCCTTCGCAGGGCGCCCGGAGGCCGTCTTGGAACCCGTTTGAAAGCCTCTGGGGCTCTATGGGGGTCGATGTTGGATGTTTTCTGGGCCGTTGTAGGCCTCGTGGAAGCCCAAGAGGCGGCTGTGCTGAAAATGTACGTTTTCCTTTGGGAATAAACCGATGTTTGCTTCTGGGGGCCTTCGTGGAACGCCGCGTAGTAGTTTTTTCAAACGTTTCGGGGGCCTATGGGGAATCGTCTGCAGGCAAGCTGGAGCGGTTTGGACCGACTCGTCTCCCTCGTGGGCCGTCTAGAAGGCCTTTGGGGACGCTCTCGTGGGGCCGTCCTGCGACTGTCTTGGGCCGTTGCTGTGGTTTCTGAGGCCGTGGTGGTGCGCCCGGAAGCCGTCGTGGAGCCTTTTTGAGAGCCTCTTGGGGTGTCAGGCGTCGAACTTGGAGGTGTACTTAGCCGTTGTAGGCCTCGTGGAAGCCTAGGAGGCGACTGTTCTGAAAATGGATGTCTGCCTTAGGGAATGGGGCGATTTTTGCTCCTGGAGGCCCTCTTGAAGCGCCTCATGGACGCGTTTTCAATTTCCCAGGGGCCTATGGGGCCGTCTGGAGGCACTCTTGGGCGGTTTGGACCGAACCGTCCCCCGCGCGGGCCGTCTGGGCAGCCTCTGGGGGCCCTGCTGGCCCATGGTGGAGCCCTCTTGGGACCGTCCTGCGGCTCTCCCCGGCCGTTGCTATGGTTCCTGGGGCCATCGTGGCTCGCCTGGAAGCCGTCGTGGAGCCTTTTCGGGAGCCTCTTGGGCTGCGGGGGGTCGATCTTGGAGGCTTCGTGGGCCGCTGTGGGCAGCGTAGAAGCCCAAGTGTGCTGAAAATGTGCGTTTCCCCTCGGGAAGGGGACGATTTTTGCTTCTGGAGGGCCTTCGTGGGGCGCCTCGTAGCACTATTTCAAGAGTCTTGGGAACTGATGGGGCCGTCTGGAGGCAATCTTCGGCGTTTTGGAACGATCTCTCGTCGACTCGTAGCTCTGCTGGACCGTTCTGGGACCCTCTTGAGCCTTTTTGGCCCGTTCTGGGGCCTCCTGAGGCTCCAAGTGTGCGGCCAACACCTTTCCCCCCCCCCCCCCCTTCCAAACTGGCCGGACCAGGCCCCCAGGGGAGGGGTTTGGGGAGGGGGGAAGCATCTCACACGCCGTGACCCCACGGGGTCGGCGGGCTTCGCCCCTGCGCGAGAGATCTCCACATGCGCTCCTCGGGTCTTGGAGTGCCCCCTCTCCACGGGGCCGGCGCGCACGGTCTGCTCGCGCCGCGCCGACCGAGCAGCGGCTCTCCGGCGCGCGCGCTCGAGGCTGAACGTTGCCAGGGGCCCACGAGCGGCCGGTATCGGACGGCCTGCGCCGTGGGAAAGCTGCGTTCGTTCAAGGGTGCACGTTCCGCGCGGTGTCAGCGACCGACGGCGGCACCATCGAGTCGCGAGCCTGCTGTCGCTGGCTCGCAAGGTGGCCCACAGGCAAAAGGCGCGGCCAGCTCCCGAATATTGTTCGCCTCTTCTTCCGAGCAGCGGGCGCGTTGAGCTGTGCGAGAAGCTGGAAGCCCAAGCCAGAGCCGTTGGCGACCGCCGCCTCGTCAGCGGGGGTCAGATGGTGCCTCAGCGCTTGGGCTCCAAGGAAAGGAGGGGTGACCATGAACCTCCCGTCAGCCGTTGTTCAGACGCGGATCGGTGGTGCCGACGTGCGAGGCGATGTCTGGCAGGGTCTTGATCTGACTGTGCGGCTTTGTCAGGGGGCTCGTCAGTTCTGGGGGAGGCAGCAAAAGTATCTTGGGCGTGTGGTTTGCTTGTCGGGCCCTTCGCGCCACTTGCCCTGGTGCCGTCCTGCTGGGCCCCTCCCCCCAAAGGGTCGGCCAGAGGGGGGGGAGAGAGCGGATGGAAGGGGAGAGGAGGGAGGGGGTGAGCTCCATCGTGTCGGACACGCTGGCAGGTGTAGCCGCGAGAGGATCCTGTGACCCGAGGATCGGCTGCGAGCCTTGGGAAGAGTGAGAGTGGGCGGGCCTTCTCAGAACGCTCGGAAGTCCCCCCGCCTTCTCAGAAGTGTTCCCAGGCCTCCCCGAAGGCCCAGACAACGTTTCAGAAGGCGCGAGGGGCTATGTCTAGCCGTGCCTCTCACTTTTCCCCCTCGCCCGCCGTCGAGGTGGGGCGGAGGAGGAGGAGGAGGAGGAGGAGGAGGAGGAGGAGGAGGAGGAGGAGGAGGAGGAGGAGGAGGAGGAGGAGGGGGAGGGGGAGGGGGTGGGGGAGGAGGAGGAGGAGGAGGAGGAGGAGGGGAGGGGGGGAGGGTGAATAAGGGGGAGGGGGAGGGGGAGGAGGACAAGCTAGGTGCGCTTGCGTCATATCTGACATCCTACCCCTCCCTCCCATCTCTCTACTTGCACAGTCGGATGTCGAGCAGGGCAATGATCCCGAAAGGGTACGCGATGCATTGTAGAGCACGACGTGGGATGGCGTAGAAGAGCACCGCAAAGCGTAATACCAACCTAGCATTTCATTGCATGCCGTGGCATGGCACGGAAAATGACGCCAGCGCTGCAGCGGGAGCACGAGTCGGAACGAGCGGAAACGCGGAAATGAGGCCAGCGTTGCAGCGGGAGCACGATTCGGAACGAGCGGAAGCACGGACATGAGGCCAGCGCTGCAGCGGGAGCACGATTCGGA